TAAACAATTTGTAAAATCCTTTCTTTTTATCTTCCCAATTTACATAAATTATAAGAAAAATGTTATTCTGCTCAGTTTTCAGTTAAAAATGTCCGATCATCGTAAAATCCGTCTCATAGCAGTTCTAAACTCCGTGTTTCGCAGAGTAAAGAATGATTACAGCTTTATGTTCGCTTGCATTGCTTGTGTCCCCTTAGATCTCTGGTGTCCGTGAGAGAGGATTACAGCAGTAGACCTCTTCAATCGTAAAACCCGTTTCATAGCACTTCTAAACTCTGTGTTTCGTATAGCATATATCCAGGGGTTGATAGCACTTGACGTGAACAACACCCATATGCACCACAACCAGCTACGATAAATTCTGTTCATAGTGCAATTGTTATCGGTTTTAAGAGATAAAATGGAAAACACAAAATTAGGTGCGAAGAAACTCACAAATATTAAGATTATAATCGCGATAGTGTAGGTGGCTTTGTGGTTTCGTAGAACTTCTTTTCGTTTCTTTACATCATGGCTGTGTAACACTGCGATACGCCGTGCTTGATACCGAGAAGTTTTCAAGATATTGAAATAACAGAATATTATGACAATGAATGGAATCCCGAATGATAATATCAAACACATTGTCCACAGTAAATCGGCGTGGTTTTCAGGTGTAAACAGAGTTACCGAAGCAAATGCGACTGAGAATAACCAAATAAAAACAATGGATGTGATGCATCGACTTTTTGTTATGATTTCTTGGTAACGAAAAACTCGAGTAACGGCGATGTACCGATCTATACTAACAGCTGCTAAACTGAAGGCAGTTGCTATCAGAGATTGGACCCACATAAAGTTTTCCATTATGTACAAGGGGTGTGTAGTATTCATCCAGACTCCAAAAGATACAACAGTTATGTAAAGTGGATTGATGATCAATCCAACCATCAAGTCGGCCGTACTGAGAGAAGCAAGGAAGAAATTGGATAAGGTTTGTAGAGAGCGCGTCTTGATGATCGATACAAGGACCACTGCATTGCCAAAGAAGGCGAATATTCCCGACAAGGAATGAAGCAAAACGAACACGATCAATGGCTTCCATTCAAGATTGGCAGAACAATATGAATCGGACATAATTTAATGGTTCCTCTAATTCCTCTTCTGGAGTCAAATCCGTATGAGTGTTATTAAAGACGTTCCAAAAGCAATAAGCCAGTGCGATTACAATCCGCCAATAAAATATGGTCTAATTTAAAACATGAATGATTCATTTAAACATTAAGATTTTTTAACTGAACGAAATTAGCTAGATGACAAAAAATTCGCTTGAATACGGTATATACAAATATTTCAAAAAAGGTTGAATACTGAAAACTGCATACTGAATAGATCATTCCAAGATCGAAGTGTGTTGTGTGTCATAGTGACATTGTCTAACTTAGGATTAATAATTATTATTTATTCTATTTTTAGTGTATTCCATCTGAAACCGCAATATACTAACTACATGTAGAGAATTAATTGCTGTATATTTCCTTTTCATTTTAAATTAACGAGACCCACAATTGGTCTTGGAATGCACTATTCAGTATACATGTACAGTATTCAACCTTTTTTTGAAATACCTGTATGTAATTAAACAACCAAATACTGTCACTTATCACCTTGCCGGTGGGCAACTCGAAATTACGGACACCTCTATATTACGGACACCTCTATATTACGGACACCCCAATATTACAGACACCTCTATATTACGGACACCTCTATATTACGGACACCTCTATATTACGGACACCCCAATATTACAGACACCTCTATATTACGGACACCTCTATATTACGGACTCCCCAATATTACGGACACCTCTATATTACGGACACCTCTACATTACGGACACCTCTATATTACGGACACCTCTACATTACGGACACCTCTACATTACGGACACCTCTACATTACGGACACCTCTATATTACGGACACCTCTACATTACGGACACCTCTATATTACGGACACCTCTATATTACGGACACCTCTATATTACGGACACCTCTATATTACGGACACCTCTATATTACGGACACCTCTATATTACGAAAACGAGCAAAATTCCAGGCGAAAAATTCCGAGAAAATATAGCTGTAATTAACGCTCGCTATTACGGACACCAAGTTGCAATCCCGAGTATGTCCACTGTAACGAGAGCTACAGCACAGTCTACAGCACATTTACTCTGCATGAATATATGTATTTATTAACACGTTTTGGTTATTGCTTACTAGACACAACGAATGCAATTATAATTCCCAATGCTTACCAAATATTGGTATAAGTTAGAGCCAAGCGTTTTGGTTAGCCGCCTGAGATATTCAGCACTCTGCTAATGTGGTTTTTGCTTCAGCCTTCAACAAGAAAAGAATTTGCGAGAGAAATAATCTTGTTATCGTAATTTCTCGTAATTTCGTAATATTCTGTGTTATTTTATTTTTTATTATGAGATTCTAATGCATAAATATATATTCACGCTATACCCATTAAGGCAAGATCGTGTCTTGCAATTAACCGGCTCTTTCACAGAAGTCTCACAAATCCCACTCTTTAATGTATTTGCTACTGTAACTAGGTGATGAGACAGTAGCACCGATATGCACCTTATTGATTCAAACGACATCAATAAAACAGTCAGAGTCATTGTACAAGTCAAAAACTAAGGGAAGTCAAAAAAGGATATTTTGAAAATTTGAAATTTGGCAGAAATTTGTTTTTTCGCTGCCGTCAAACAAAACTAACCAGTCAATACCTTTCATATTTTGTACTGGCAGCAGCCAAAAACTAAACTTTAGCATGCAGCTCGCAGCTACCGAGTTCGCATGTGATATTAGCAACCTTAAGCTTTTCAAAATCTACGACGGCGTAGTCAACCGGAAGTGTAAAAAAAGGGTCTCTTAAGGGTTTCGCGCTTTGAATGGAATCTCCAATGAACAGAACCCGTCGTAGATTTTGAAAAGCTTAAGGTCGCTATGATGAAAATGGCAGTAACCTCATTTTGGCCATCCGTTCAAATGTAAAAGGCGTTCTCGATCAATAAAAAAAAAAACGGGGTTCTTATATAGCGCATTTTACATGGTCTCAATGCGCTTCATAATCATGGCCAGTGGAGGACTTTACGGGCTGCAGTAGCAGCCGTGCAGCTTACAATCATGAGTGATTTGTTAGTAATTTAGTATTAATGCCTCCAGATTGGGATACAACATTATTAAACACTTTTTCGCAAACGATTTCTTCACTTTACATTCAGTCTTTAGTGTCGAAAAAAAAACGTATTTGATAGTTGTTATAGTATAGCTGATTGATCCACGCCTTCTTCACCTTTCCGGACGGCATATCGCAATTTGGAACAAAAATATCTATCATTAGCATATACCAACTTGTGTACTTTCTAAGAACGCGCGCGCTCATTGGTTAATTGGAGGTGAATATTGTACGAAGTTTTGCTAAAAGTTTTGCGTGAATTTGTCACGCAAACTAAAAGTTTCTGTTTGTTTGTTTTTATTGAATTATTGTATATAAAAATAAGTTACTCTGTACTCAAGTTGGTATATGCTAAAACAATTATTCGCCTCAGGCTCAGTGAATAAGGAGAATATTTACCTCGCCGCTCGAAGACTCGCGTCTCGGTACATATATCCCGATATTCAATTGCTAAATAGCTAATCACACCCGAAATTAATTATGCAGAGCCCCATTTAAACCAGCTATGCTGAACTGGGCATCTCTGCTTAAATAATGTCCATAAATAATGTCCATAAATAATGTCCATAAATAAATAAATAAATAAATAGATAAATGATAAAGACCTCTCGTTATTATACGAAAAGCTTTTTAAATCTCTGCCGAACGCTCTTATTCTTAATTTAGATTCCTAATCCAATCTACAGTATTAGTTCATTTCAGCTGTTTTGAACTGTCGGTTGAAGACTGCTTTTTGCTGCCGACAGTCTCAAATGTGAAATTACTGGTGAAAATAAATGATCGATCGTGTTCTTGTCGGCAGTCAAACAATTTTATACTAACATGGTGTTATTGAAAAAGTTATTTTGCAAAAGGTGACATAAAGTGACACCTGTTTTGCCAAGTATTCAAGACTGAACTCCAGTCTACTATTTTCTTAATTTCTTATCCCTTATCTCAATGCAAATAGTTTCACAAAACACCTTTCATAAAATACACTTAATACAAATAAAGTAAATATGCGATTACAGCGGCAATATTAGAGAGTTTTAGATTGACTTTTTTTTCTCCCCGCAAACGGCAAACGTGACCACGTTTTCATAGTTTTCCTTTATTTTACTTTACCTTTTACAAACCTTCTCACCATACGCAAATACTCTTTTGTTTTTCTACTACTTGGACTTTTTTGCGATTCTTTTTCAGTAATTTAAAAGAATTTTTTACTGGTCAACTGACGTTTCACGTTTGCCGTGAACGTAAATCTAAAACTCTCTAATATCTTAACAAAAACTGACCGACGTCTGAACTAAGATGATAGGTGAAAAAGAATTGCATAGAACAAGAAAATGAAAACACATCTAAACAGAAAACATAATTATAAAAAATTTAAAACCATTTTAATTAAAATTTTTAAAAAAGCATTATTGTTCTTGTTATTTGGAACGTTTTCAATATCATATTAATTTACTTTATTTCGGCCAAGTCATCGCTTGACGCCTTAATTACAATTCCCTTCTTTTCTAAATATTAGCTTTTTCTTAACTTTCATAGCGCGACATTGACACATGTCGGCATGTTAATCGTAATACCGTCAATATATCAGTATGAATAGCATTTTTTCTCAGTGAAACTACGAAAGTGTTTGAAAACATGAACAATACCTGCTGCAAAGCTTGCCCTTCTAGCAACCTTGAATGGAAGCCATTGATCGTGTTTGTCTTGCTTCATTCCTTGTCGGGAATATTCGCCTTCTTTGGCAATGCAGTGGTCCTTGTATCGATCATCAAGACGCACTCTCTACAAACTTTATCCAATTTCTTCCTTGCTTCTCTCAGTACGGCCGACTTGATGGTTGGATTGATCATCAATCCACTGTACATAGCCATTGCATCGCTTGGAGTCTGGATGAATACTACACATCCCTTGTACATAATGGAAAACTTTATGTGGGTCCAATCTCTGATAGCAACTGCCTTCAGTTTAGCAGCTATTAGCATAGATCGGTACATCGCCGTAACTCGAGTTTTTCGTTACCAAGAAATAATGACAAAAAGTCGATGCATCACATCCATTGTTTTTATCTGGTCATTCTCAATCGCATTTGCTTCGGTAACTCTGTTTACACCTGAACAACACACTGGTTTACTCTGGACAATGTGTTTGATATTATCATTCGGGATTCCATTCATTGTCATAATATTCTGTTATTTCAATATCTTGAAGACTTCTCGGTATCAAGCACGGCGTATCGCAGTGTTACACAGCCATGATGTAAAGAAACGAAAAGAAGTTCTACGAAACCACAAAGCCACCTACACTATCGCGATTATAATCTTAATATTTGTGAGTTTCTTCGCACCYAATTTTGTGTTTTCCATTTTATCTCTTAAAACCGATAACAATTGTACTATGAACAGAATTTATCGTAGCTGGTTGTGGTGCATATGGGTGTTGTTCACGTCTAGTGCTATCAACCCCTGGATATATGCTATACGAAACACAGAGTTTAGAACTGCTATGAAACGGGTTTTACGATTTAAGAGGTCTACTGCTGTAATCCTCTCTCGCGGACACCAGAGATCTAAGGGGACACAAGCTATGCAAGGGAACATAAAGCTGTAAGCATTCTTTACTTCATCAATAAAAAGGAACACGACTAGGGTGTTCGTCAAGAGAAGAGAAAAGGTATACCGACACCGTTGTGCTGGTGGCCGGGTTAAACTGCGTATCTCACGTAATATCTTGAGGGTATTTTTGGAAATAGTCCAACTGAACTCCTACAATATTACTTGGACTTGCCATAAATTTCATGTACAAAACAGGGAGCATTGCGACCATGAGTTATATATTTACTCGGAATCGGAGTACATCTCATGCTCCGTAGAAAAGGTGCTAAGGTTGCGTAAGATGAACAATGACAAAGAGATTTCGAAACTAAATGAATATTCAAATAATATGATGTCAAAAAGCTTATCTACTACGACGTTATTGAATGATGCTTTATTAGAAGTAAACGAAATTAATAAACTAAATACCAATCATCTGTAACATTACATGAGCACCTGAACTCACCTGTTTTACGACCATAAAATCTAAAACCTACCAAAAATTGACTATTTGAGGTGTCCTCGAACGACACTTCTCGAATTTATTTAATGTTAATTGCCATAAAGGTGGAATTAAACATACTAGCGTCCGAAACGTCAGTTTTTTTTCATCTGTTCACGGTGTATAATTTAAATTTTTATCATTACTGTTTCATTAGAAACACCGACGCAGCTCACACTAGTTTTTAGCTAGTTATCTCTTCATATAGAGCATGTTATCTTCGCGTGGGAAGATTAGCATAATTTGAGAGAAAAACAAGATTAAATATTCATTAGTTTTCTTATTGATAAGGTGTCCCCCTGAGCTCCGTTATCGGACCTAGATAAAACTGTTTTTGTAAAAAGTAAATAAAATAATTATCACGCTTAACAATCATAATTTGCAAAAAACGTATTATGATGGAACGCATCTTCTATAATTTTGATACAACAAATGAAACCGATGACATATTTTTTGTCAAACTCAAGTAATATGACGGCTGTGAAAACAAGCAATATAAATAATGAACTTTTTCTTTGCTTACTTACCGTTTCGTACATTTGGTTTGTAAACTGAACTAGGAGCTTTAATAACCAGGCCTTCTTCACGGCGATCAATGGCTTCGTTCAAAGCACTAATAATTTCCGTTCTAAAAATGAACCATGATAGACATGGGAATGAAGTTGTGTATTCGCGTCTCGCAAGAGAATAGAATTTGTTACGACTGTCATTGTTAGAACTCCGCAAAAACCTAAGAAGCCAAATTCCAATTCAATCTGGGAACAAATTCCTGATAGTCTTAAGTCCCAATCATTTAAGTCATTTAAAAAGAATTATAAAAAACATTTATTATCTATACAATAACATATACTTCGTCTATAATAATATATGTATTTGTATATTATATCCTGTAAATATATAACTGTATATTAAAAAAGTGTAAATAAACAAGTTGAAGTTGAAGTAGCCGTGCCCTGACTTACACATCAGTCCAGAGGTTGTTTAAGGTTTCGATCTGTGAATTAACCATGCCCTGACTCTGATCAGCCCAGAGGTTGTTCATCAGAGTTCGATCTGAGAGTTAGCCGAGCCCTGACTTTGATCAGCCCAGAGGTTGTTCATCAGAGTTCGATCTGTGAGTTAGCCGTGCCCTGACTTTGATCAGCCCAGAAATTTTGACAATTTCGCGACTCCAATCAGTCGTTTGGGGATTTCGCTAACGTCAATCAAAAGAATTACTAATTCCGATCGCCAAAATCTGTCTGGCGGCCAAAACCTCAGCGGTCTTGAAACATATTTGCTGGTATTGCATTATGATATTGAAAACTTGTTGGAGTTAAATTAACTGTAATACTTACTTTGAGGTTCCATTTTTTCTCTCCACAAACTGAATGTATCCAAGTCGAGGATTAAAAACGCTACCGATATATATTTAAAAAAAAAAAAATTAGAATTTTATGAATTTTATGTTCTGCTTCCTTCAATTAAAATTAAGTCCATGGTCAATCGCGATTATCGAAACTGCAAAAACATGTATAAGTAATGTTGGCAAACTGTTACAAAGACAGAAGATATAGCAGAAAGTGCTTCACAGAGTTATCAGTAGGTTAACAAATTTAATAAAAGTTCTCAATAACCTATGGCGTTCCACACAGATTTATCCTGGGTCCTTCGATAAGTTGGAGAGAAATGGCTGAAATACTTTGTTTTTAGTTCATTGTGGTGATACTTACGTGTTTAATACAGCTATTCGTTCTTGCAGAGAGACATTTGCAAGCTTTCTATCATTTAATAGTAAAATATCGAACACAATGAAGCAAGGATGAAAACCTGGTACAGATAAAGCGAAAAGACCATGTCACATACAGGTACCATTCAGGCGTCGAAACCGTGGAACATGGTTCGTGCAATATTACTTCGAAGAAAATGAAGGAATTTTAGAGTATAATAAATATGGTTCCACTTTTCAAGGAGTATTACAAACGTTACACGGGTGATGTACGGCAGTAGTGCACTCGCCTCTCAACTCTGGGGTATCGGGTTTGGCGATTTCTGTACTCGGCATCAAAGATGTATGGGCAGAGTTTGTTGATTCTCTCCAGTGATTCGAGAGTTTTTTGCGGGTTCTCCGATTTTCCGACTCTCCCCACAAACCTAACAGTAACACTAAATTCCCATTTGACCCGTGATTTAGCTTTGTCCTTACTTTTGATTAGCCCCAGAGGTTGTTTTAGGGTTTGGTTAAAGTTTAAAGGTTTTAATTCATACTAGTTGGAAACCTAAGTGATTATAGACGTAAACCACTGTTTTCCCATTTCAGACCAAGGTTCATTCCCTAGAGTGTTTTTTCTTCTTTGTTTAACGGCTGCACATGACAAGGCAAAATATCAGTGGATACAACTCAAATAAAGAATCTTATTCTCAAGAGAGCGACACGTGGTCTGAAATGGTCAAAAAATTATGCCAAGTGGATTTGATCCATTACGCTTCCCAAGATAATCAAGGACATTCAAGGTCTTTTTATGATCAAGTGCTCTTCAAATCAGATCTCAAATTCCAGGAGCTTTTAAGGAGCTTTACTAATGGGGGGACCCTTTTATTTCATTTTTTAAAGTTACCTTTATCATAGGTAGACGCTGATTTGACGTCATGATTTGTAGCTTTGGTGCTAAAAAAATAAGAATAGATGATCTTAGTAGTCGTATCTTGAGCATTTAGCACAATATACAGCTACAACATACAGCTATAAGCATTTAGCACAGCATACAGCTATTTCAAAAAAGTCGCTCGGTGAAATTTTTGTCATGTTGCCTTACCAAGCTTGAAATATATTATATTCATATGTATAAAAGGTCAGCGCAGAAGAAATTACGCCGCAGGTAAAACTTGAGGACAAAGTTTGGAAAAAATCCATATCGTTGTGATCTTTTGGTGATTGTATTTACATGGCCAATAGTGCAGTTCGGGCTTGGTATATGCAACACCCAAAATTGCCTAATTACATTTCGAGTGAAAGGACTGGAGAGACCAAACAACTTCTGACCAGAGGAGGATAGTCAAGGAGCGTGGAGCATTGTGGGTTAAAAGTTCAATTACATTTAATTTACGTTTGACCTTCGTTGTGCGAACATCCTCTGGCGAGAAAGTATCGTGGATGCTCTAACTGTTGACCAGGCTGGATAAAGTGAATATTCTTAATACATGTAGTCGTATGTTACCGTTGAGCTCGACAAATGCAGTCCGATTTTGACCGAATGAACAAAAAACAGTGGGAAATGTAGATATTTATGATATCTTTTCCAAGATTGTCCGGTTTCGACCCAGTCCTTCCACGATATGAAACTCATCAATGCAAGTCAAGTCGACCCTTTAGTTCATCGCCTTGGAGTCATCAATATTTTTGACTCGATGCTGGCATATTTGCGAAGTCTGTATGACTAACCCAAAAACTTTAAAAGCTTTAAAATATCAAGGGAATCTTTTCGCCGATTTTTTTCCAGAAGGACTTCAATGAGACCAGTAATCCGATTACGACTGTTTTCGTTGTTACGCCCTAATCGCGAACTGAAACAGTCTTGACAAGGAAATTGGGCAATAGACTGCCGTCAATCAAATAAATTGTTTGGTACCTTTACATGACTGATGCTAGTGTATTGCTCGAATTTCAATGAAAACATTATTTCCAATGAAAACAGTGATACGCAAGAAGAGATTGGTGTCCCATTACATGAGTGACATAAGTGTAGGCGCATCCGGTTAGAATGTGTTCACCAACTGACATCCTTTTTTCATATTCTTGGGGAACAAATAAATACAGGAAGAACTACGTAAAATACGTTAGTTTTGGACACATGTCATCCGCACAAGTGTTTTTGTCGAAAGGAAATATAAAGCATTACGCTGGTTTAATCTCAATAAAAACGATTAATTTTGATAGAAAATTACATACTTTTTGTGCTTTTATTTACGAAATAATGTAAAGGAAGTTTTTATGCAACTTTCTGTATAAAACCTGTAAGTCGTATGTCAGAAAAAATAATAGAAAAAACATATGCAAATAAAAAAAAATTGCTTAATTAAAAAAAAGCCTTTAAGTGCTCGTGTTTTATAAATACGACTCCCCTTAGTTACCGTTGCTATGCCCAACAACTGAGCTCAACAAATTAGGAAGAATATCTCAGAATTTAAAACTCTGATCGCTGAAAATATATGATAAATTGCTTAAGTAAATAGTTTTATGTTCTGAGAAAATAAAAGAAAATTGCCTCGTAATCCTTATAGTCTTTAAAACAAATACTGTGTAATTGTTAGTGGGATTCCACTAAGAAAACTGCTGCAACGGTGATTGATTCGCTATTGTCTGAGTCGTAACTATGAATAAATGTAGAGCTCGGAGCTGTATGCGTGCCTTGCTGCGACCTTACGTGATGTTTTCTTGAATTTTGATTGGCTAATTTTTCTCGTCTACCCACCGCTGAACATTCGTTTTTTGGACGAGGCTGAAAATTATCAAGATCCGCTGAAGCAAGAGAATATGAAGTACTTAATATTCTCTTGGCTGAAGCCATAGGCCGAGAAGGATAAAACATCATGCGAAAACCGAATCAATGGTTGTTTTATCATTCACATTTAGTTCTGCTTGCGAAAGAAAGATCTCTGTGACCTTGAATGAACTTGGCATGATAAATGAATTATCTGCAGGGAAACCTATAGATAATAAATACATTTATCATGTCAAGGTCTTATGACATCAGGCATTGACTGGATGTTTCAGTCAAAACTAGGCGGGATAGTGAGTGAAATGTATAATAATACATTTATTAGTGTCTGTAGTTTCATTACTTACAAGAACGTGCCCGCGCTTGGATCAAAGATCACCATTTCACCATCAAGAATACAGGATTCTGTAGAGCTGAAATGGAAAGCAATCAGCTGAGTATTATCTTAAATCATGTAAGTTGCCTATGGATTACAAAATAATAGCAAAGACTTGCAAAGAATTTCATTTTCCATGGTGTTCCACACATATCTGTTTTAGGTCCTTTGATATAAGCTCTTTTAACCACACCCATACATTCAATTATACAAATGAAAGAGCTGTGGGCTCCAGTATTTCTCCAATCTCAGCCACTCAACTTTTAAATACGTTTTGCCATTCCATGCCATGTCCACATAGCATGTCTTCTCCTCTTCATCCTAAAGTTCTTTTTACCTGTTAAAAGATTCTGCGATATGTGGAGTTAGAAATCCTTCATCTGCGCTCTCTCCAAAGATGTGAGTGTACTCGTTTGCACTGAAAATGATAGTTTCATTCAGCAGTTTGTTATGATCAACGATATGAAGTATGAAATGTCGCAGAGTTAAAGGGCGTTAATGTGGTTATGGCAAATCTATATCCCACGCTTGCCTGCAGTCTGTAGAGAACCTGATGCCGATTGATACATCTTGTACATTTTTCCACATATTTTTCAGATTCTCTCTTTCTATTTTTTTTTTTTTTTTTTTTTTTTTTTTTTTTTTTTTCCCTTAAAACGTTGCAGTCTGCGTAAAGTTGAGAACAGCAGGCAGGCTGGCACCTGAATTAGTTCTATAGCCGATAACTGACCTTCTCGAAAAGTATTTGTAGGTGTTGTTCCCTTTATGAAGTTGCATGCGCTCACCATCAACTTTTTCCTCGATGTAAAAAGGTTGACCCTCCATGACTTTTTCAACCTAAAAGATAATATGCTAAAATGTAAAAATAGAATTTTGGACTTTTCCAAGAAGCAGGGAAGCAATAGAGCTATGTTTATTTTGAGGGGCAATCGCAACTGCATGTTTGTTGCATAAAAATCATGCCAAGAAGCATTAGGCAATTTATTACATCCCTCGCACGTCTTCAAGGACCATAGGCCAAAACTTCATTCTCTCTGCTTATAGGTATATAAAGAACATCATATTCATGCCAGTGTCTTCTCATGCACAACCATTAAACAAAGAAATAATACTTTAGAGAATGACATGTGTTCTGAAATGGGAAACAACGTGCTGTGATTCTCCCATGCTGTGATGCAACAGCTAAAGCTTAATAGATGTATGACTCAGGCGTTCACAGACTTGGTTCAGGGTTTCTATAAAATTTACTTTTGAAAGAAAGCAAAAAGTTGAAAGTAACTGACCTGATTCAGAGAACCTCTTTGTCCTAACATGGGTCTGAATGGTGAAAATAGAGAGATTTCGACTTCATTCATTCTTATGGTTGGATTGTGGAGATCTTGACACACCTGTCATTGAAAAAGCATTTGAAAGGATTGAACTTTTAAAGTAGGGCGTAACGTTTTCCCACCTAGTCAGATTTATATTGATACTGATATATACCCATGTTTCATCTTCATCATAGTATATACAGCCATTTCTAAAAAGGTTGGTGAAGTTTTTTTAGCATGTTGCATGTTCTTTATCAAGCTTGGAATTTATTATATTCATATGTAGATAATTTTAGAACCAAAGAAAGTATACCGGTAAAACGTGCAAACATACTTTTAGCTTGACTACGCTGCCCATGAATGTCTAATTACATCACTGTCATTACAGATTGCAAAAATTAACTTTATACCCAAAAAGTGTGGGTATTGAGTCCCACCTCCCTCCCCCTCCCCTCC